AGAAAACCGCTGGTATCACGCTTGAGGTCAATTGAATCCCGCCATGATACACAGTATGACGTGAACTCACCTTGTGCGTTTTCCTTTGCCAAGCTTCTAAAAAGTTTTTCCCAGTTCCTATATCCCGGAATTTTGACACCTTTCATGGTTTTTCGACTCACTTAAGGACTCCCCACGTCAAAATTTCGAACCACGCGGTGGTTCAGACCAGGACAGTTCAGTTCAGTGCAGTTTAATTCTCAAAGAAATTGTGGCTCTTGCCAGTCGCGCGTCCAGTTACTTGTGTTGTCGGTGATTACGTTGGCTTCCAACACTTAGAGCAAATAGTAGTTTCGGAAAGGCGGAATGTTAACGTGCAGTATCAGATACCTTACAATGTTTCTATAAGTAAACCCTAACGATTTACCTTCAACATTCAACTTTGAGAAATACTACTGCCTAGCATTCGTTTAGATTTCTCTCGAAAGATTCGACACTAATACAGTAAAACACCACTTCTTGTAATTTATTCCACAGTGGTATAAGTCTGTTTGTGAAGAGCCTAGCTCGCAAATTTAGTCTACAATGACTTCTTTCCAATCTAAGTTGATGCTCCTCGTTAACCCGGAAGGGACAAACGGGAATAGGTCTTGGAACTTTAGACCCGAATGCCCTTTGAAGGTCGGTAATGTCTCTATAAGCTTACCCCGCAGTCGTATGCGGGCCAGGGAGAACAGGTCTAGGTCCCGCAGTCGTTGGGGGTATCCCTTCTTTTCTGGCCTGCTACCATTCTATTTGCTAAGCGCTGTACTTTCTGAAGATACCGTTCATTCTGTTTAAAATAAGGCGCCCAAGCTCGTACGCAATATTCTAGATGAGGACGCACAATAGTTTTGTACAACGGTACAAAAACCTCGAGTCTTCTGCAACTTACAACAGCACACAACCTGAAATGTTCGTGTTGAGCTTTATTAGCCTCACGCTTGCACTGTAGGGATGGCCTGAAATTGTTCGTGATTATTATCCCTAGATTCTTTGCCTCAGAGACATGATACAGATTCATCACACCTCTCGTGTCATCATTGGCTCTTGCGGTCAAGAGCTGACACTTACCTAGATTCAGTGGTAGATCCCACTTATCCGACCACCTGCAAACTGTATCAAGATCCTGTTCCAATCTTTCCTCAGCTAACTTCACATCATCAGGGAACATGAAGCACGGATTTTGGAGATTCTTCGTAAGGTTATTAATGAAGATCAAAAATAAAAGCGGACCCAACACCGATCCCTGTGAGACACCACTTGATATTACCTCAGGTTCGGTTGCATAATTTCCAACTCTCACACTGAATGTGCGACAGCTGATAAATTGTCTAATCCATTCTCTTGCCTTAACTAGAATCCCCACTGTTTGCATTTTTAGATCGAGAAACTGATGACTGACAGAGTCAAAAGCCTTCCTGAAATCTAGGGAGCAAACCTCTACTTGGCGATCTGCGACTATTTATTTTGGTAACTTCGTCTAGAAATGCCAGCAGGTTGGTTAGGCACCAACTTTTCTCGACGAACTCATGCTGGGCTTGAATCAGAAGCCCATGAGCAATCAGATAAGAGCAAATTTGTTTCCTAACTATCCGCTTGAGACACTTGCAGAAGAACGAGGTCAAACTTACCGGCCTGTAGTTGCAAACCTTGTGTCTAGGGCCTGACATGTGGATGGCCACTACGGTTGCAGTTTTCCAGTCCTCTGAAAGCCTACAAGTACCGATGGACTCCTTAAATGACTTAGTGACCGGTTCCGCTAATGCATTTGCTAGAGGCTGAATCTCGGCGGTCCAGAATACAACTGGTGAATCAGCACGAAATTATTGGTTTCCAGCTGAATGGCAATACCTCTTTTTCTTCCCAAAATCAGAAAGCCAGTAAAGCCGCTTTTTTATCTTAGGCCTCATTACACAAAAAGAACTACTCTCTCCTCTAAGGTACATATATATTCCCGCTCTATTCTGCATTACCGTATCCCGTCTTGTGCCGGTTTCCATCCAACGATCTGCGGGCCGCCTCTTCTTATTTTACCCACTCCTTGTCGTGTTTCCAGTCATCCCACCATTCATCCGGTATACCGATTCTTGTTTTTCATTATATTTTCACCGACATGCGCTAAAAGAGCATTCCGCCATCCTCAAACTTTTTTATCTGATACCTTGTCCACTCTGTGTTCCATTTGTAATGATGTTCACTGCGACCTTCAATTTTTTTCCTTTTGGGCCTCTCCTGTA